CAGAATGACCCTGACTGATTTCTCTTATTCAAGCGAACATGCTTACCTCTGTTCCTGATTTCGTCCCAGAGTGGCTTCCTGTAACGTCTACTAATGGTTGTTTTGTATTTTGCAGTCCCGCTATTGACACATTCCCATCAGGTTTGCTGTTTGATGTAATTTCTAAATTATGGGCAGCTTTTCCTGGGTTGTCTATAGTTTTCAAATCAAGTACTTGATCCTCATTTTCTTTGGAGACGGTTTTTACCAGATGAGTGTGCACCATTGACTCTCCTGAACTTTGGACATCCTCCTCCTCTTCGTCTTCCCCGCTTTCAATCGCAGAGTCATCCCTCGATGTGATTGTAAATTTACCCGTCAGTAGCTCCGTATCACTGAAGACACCATAACGCAAGTTTCTTTGGGCCTCACGGCATTTTTGGAGTTGATCCTGTTGGTAGAGCAGTGTCTCCAAGTCAAAACTTTGACGAGTTGACGCCTTCGTATTTATGAGTCGCGGTATTGGCTTGGACTTTAGTGTTGGTTTGACTGGGTGAAGATAGCGAAGTTTTGGGTCTCTACAATAGACACAGTATTCTTGCTTGCACATATACACTCTCAGAAATGGTGTTTTGTGAAGTATGATCAATGCAATCAAATAATGCGTAATGCTAGTTAATATAAGCACTAAAGGTAGTCGTAAATCACTAGTTTTGTTTGACTGATAGTCCAAATCAATATTGATTGTTCAGTAGTAACTTGAGCGTCAAATTTGAGATGAAACCAGGCGTCTCCTGCGTCCGCAACCATCACGTACATGGAGCGAATAACGCTGTATATTCCGAATTAAAAGCCAAAGCCATCTCCGCTCGCGTCGATATTCCTTCCTTTGTTCATGCACTCCGGATTCCCAGTGAAACTTTCCTGACGTCTAAGATTTTTATCACCCAAGAGGTTAGTTTCTGCTCCTGTGAAATAACTACAAAACTCTAGGCGCAGCTTCCGTCCCAGTGGAATGGCCAAGCATTGCGCCCAAAACATCACTTGATTGTGTTGCGGCCAATTAAATGATCGGCTGTATAGAATTACGAGACAGACTATTCAGTTACTAGTCTCAGTTCCAAGAGTGCCAGAGCAGAGTTCTCTACACTGAGAACAAAATAGAAGTATAACCGTAAAGAAGAAGTTATTCTAAAGAAGTGACCGCCACATTTTAAATGTTTTCTCAGTTTGCGCCGAAGGCTGCACAGAAAACGAAGTGCAGACATCCTTTTTTAAGTGTAAACACAACTTCAGTAGAGCGTTTTACTAAATAACGACCGCAAGTAGGTAGGAAAATTTCAAGAGCACTACAACAAATATAAGCTCTCCTCATCTTCACTATAACCTCATTTGACCCTGCAAATTGCTTCAGGGTTGCTATAAAAAAATTTTAAACCAGCTACGTCGCCTTCCTTACACTAAATTATGCTGAATGCCAGTGTTTTTTACAAAAGCTGAAACATGCGACACATCACCTTGACACTGCTGAAAAGAGATGATGAATGTTAGTATGCAAATGTTTTGTTGTCAACTATTTCATTTGTTCTGCTGATCAAAGTGCCAATTTTACCTGTCATACGCAAACATTCTGGATTACCGTTACTGCACATTTTTGCTCCACCAACTGAAGAACTGTGTTTCCAAGGTGCACCCCAAGTAGGTTACGGTCAGTTTCTCCCTGACTGTAGAGTTTTCAAAATCAACAGACTGTCCATAAAGGTTCATTGCTTTCGGTTATAATCTTGTGATTGGCGGCAGCCTGTTATTTAGCCTTGATACGATGTTGGTAGGCCTAGGGTGAAACTTCATAGAACCTGTACAACTGCACTCCCCGGAAAAGGGGAAACAATTAAGAGACTGTAGGTCCATTTTTGATCTAGGCCCAAAAAATCCTATCAGTAGTATCCTCATTGGGAGTGAACCCATTTACAGTACATACATCTACACTAAGGATAGTCGCAATCCGATTCCTCTTGGGTTTCATTATATAGGCCTACCTGTATAATACGCGTCGAATATTCGCAAGTGGAGACGGTTCAACCTGTCTGGGTGACAATTCACTTCTGATTGCCGTGTCGTCTCTTGAGATCGATGTTTTTAGCTTCGAAGCACACGTCCTAATACTGGACGTTACGATATCGTAAAAGCTCTGTAGGTTTGAATCTACCTCCTCAATCGGTCGCAAGTGCGTGCTGTATGCCCGCGCATGGCGCCTTGCCAAGGGAGAAGTAGGGATACCGGTGCAGGCATGATCGGATTCTCTCGATGATGAGCCTTTAGTGGAAAGGTCTTCCGCACTGGAATTTAGATAAAGAGGTAATGATCTAGCTCCAAGGATGATATGGCTTCGCGTGCCCACTGGATGTCTTTTCAGACCGGATTTGGGGAGCACAGGCATTCGGAGCCAACCGTGCGGTATGAGGCTCTTCGTACAAGATGGCGAAGTTGCCTTTTCATTCATGAGATATGCGCAGCTATGAACACTTGAACGAAGATGATTCGTATTTCGAAACTCCACTCCCGTACGATTCTGATCCTGGTTGACCACCAAGTTAGGTGAAGGAAGAGTCGTCAAGTTCAGCTGACCGCATTCGTCAGGATTTCTACTGCCACCCGGAGGTGAGTCATATGGCAGGGGAGTTAGAGCTGAACAAGCATCATCGTTAGCGGGAAAGAAATGGTGTTGCACTAAACCTTGATCTGGTATCGGGATGATGGGTGTTGAAGATGCTCGAAGCATGGATCCTTCAAGGACAGGCTTGACGTATGCCTCAAAAAATGCTTGGTTTGGTTCATATGGCTGAAAATGTGAAAAACATGGTGATTCAAGTTGAAACAGAGATGACAAATGCTAACAACAATCGGAAACACTTTAAACGGCATTATTCATGGGTTCCGTCAGTAGGTGAAATAGTTCCAATACATGAAAGACACAAATCTACAAGCGTAAGGAATCCATGTGGCATTAAGACGCAATTCTACCGCAACTTATGCATAAACTTAGCATGCAAGTCACATCTGCCCTTATACGCTTCACTCCTTATTCTTGCCAGTTTCGTTGACAGGTGACCCGGTGAACTCAACAGTGTGAATCCCCACATCCATTGGTAAACTGAGGAATTCTCGGCATACATACTCACAGAATAGTAGATCGGACATATTCTGTATTTCCTGCAACAAATTCTGTCAGATAGTATTGTGCGTTACGAACTCATCTGGCTACCTGCCACACAGGTATAAGTAGTATCCTGCTGTGATATAAAGTTGGATCTTTTACCAAAACCATGGAACCTCTCTAGGAGAATCACCACCCTGTGCAGTGTCTATGAAAACCCAGAGCAGAACACTGTAAGATGATTATTTTCACACATCCAAGTCAATTGCAATCGGAGTGGCTGTAACGTACAGGAGGGATGAGTGTAGATATATGCAAAGAAAATATCGTTTGTCAACAATTCAATCCGCAAACGCTTACTTTTTACCAACCTCCTCGGAGCATGCTGGTAATATCAAGGTATGGTCAGCTGCGGAAGTCACCGAAAAGGCTCAAAAGTGCTTAAAAAGACATTGGCTGGTAATTTACATGGTAGTGATTTGACAACTTATTGGAAGCTCGAATACTCACGCGTGAAATTTTGCAGCGTCCGACGTGACTAGTTTAGTGCAGAACTCGCCTACCAAGAGAAAGTTAAAGTATGCAGTCTAGTTCGTAGACCATGTCTGCGGGACTACGTGTAAAAATGTTAGGTTAAGGAATTACTGTTGGTTACTCGCATCACCTCATTCGACACTACTCCCCGATGATCGTAGACACTAGGCAACCGATGATTAAAATCAACATTTATTACACATCAATCAAAAGAAACCAAAGGACTACTGAATCCAAACTTCAAGAAAGCATTAATTTTGTGGTTCGTATATTTACATGACCACGACGAATAACAACTGCCAAATGCCCAAGCATATGCAAACCTTTTTCAAATGTGTAGTTACGTTATTCGATTGCGCTGCGATTAAATCTTCGTAATCTAGGGACAACACTTGCACGTCTACTGCCAAACCGTTTACGTCCTTTAATGTCAAATTGTCTACTGATCTGCGTCTCCAAAGAAATTTTTACCGTATAAGTGGATTTGGCACTTTGGATTCTCAGAGTATACAGAGGTGTCATTTTGCAATCACAACATCTACACCAGGTGTCCAGCAATACTCAAAGGGTGCCGAATAAAGTCTGGCTTTTAAAAAATTTTCTGGCAATCTTCTTTCCACACACCAAAAATGCATCGGTACCAACTTCCCAATGAAGGTGTTTGCGGCAAAAACCATAGAAAATTTGTTCAAAAATTACTCACATGATCACCAAACCACGTAAGGCTTGGCGGTGTTGCTGGTTCTAAAAGCTGTGTGGAATGCCTCCTAAAACCTTGAGATACAGTCGCTGCCTCTTGTTGTACAATCGCTCTGCACTGATGCGCCAAACCGTCGTCAGCAGAGGAGCATGTTTGAATGTCATCACAAGTCATGTCGGGTGAATCCGGTGGCAAAAAACGACAGTGTAAACATGGAAAGATTGGTTCTGATGTGAGGTCCTCACCCACAGAGCTGTGATGATCAACAGGCGTAACATAATGATAGCCGCCTGAGCTAGTTGGATTCATTTGTCTGGTAAATTTTGTGGGGACCAGACAATCCAACTGTCCACTTGATTCGATGTGCACGTCGTCCGGTTTCTGTTGCCCAAACTGCGGACAATGTTGCCGAACAATGGAGGACAGTTTATAATTCTCACGCTCCAGATTCGATATGCGGTGCTTTAAATAACGACAGTCCTCTCGTATATCCTGAAAAGAATGCGGAATAGATTATTAGCTGCCGAAACTTGAAATATTTGTAGTACCACGCAAGGGATAAGAACTTACGTTCTGAGCAACATTAGTGTGTACAAGAACGCTGATGAGTTGCCGAATCTGAGAGTCGAAATGTTGTTTCGCGCGTCCCACCCCGTAGACAAAAGTTTTTCCATTCTCTGGATGTTCCGTTGGAACGCACACGGGTTCATGTGTGTGTAAACTTTTCACAAATGGTTGAATCTTGAAAAAAAACGCGAGAAAAATTGAAACTTTTTATTTTTTCCCTTTTCAATACTCACGGTTTGTTATTTGATTGATTCGACCCCACAAAACTAGAACGGATCGATCAGTTTCCTTAGGATTTCGGTACTAAAGTTCGCCATCCATTATTTCCACTATTTCTGAATAAAAATATTTTTCTTCCGAAAATATCATGCAGGTTGCCACATGTACGAGAGAAAGACAGGGCACCGTGCTACTGGCAATCATCAAAAACCAAAGTAAAATGCTGACCGCTCAGCCAGGCCACAGCTAGCAGGGGCATGAATCATCGACATCACCTGCCACAGAGCACGCCACCCTAACCCGTGCCTTTATTATGTTTGTAATTATCTGATGAGCTCCTCTCTGTTGTTTTGTTGTTGTTTTTTCCGTGTCCTACAAATCCTTCGATTCTACCAGGTCTTTTGCCACTGATATGTCTATAAATCATCAAGTTTAAACTAGACGCTTGTGTGGTTTTGTAGGTGGGNTGGGGGGGTGGGTGGGTGGGTGGGTGGGTGATAGTGCTGAACTAGATTTTTGAAAATCTATGCACTTCTTTTGATTGTACCACAAACACCGGGAGCCAGATGACGTACAACACGAACAGAGTGAAAGGAAAACAACAGACCTCGGCATATGGGGATAAAGAGTCTAACACTATGGTGTTTGGGTAGAAGAGATCGATCTGAAATATGCCTGAAATAATGAAAAATGAAGAGTTTACGACTGTTAATTAGTGGCCATATGAAAACTGGAGTGAATCAGTGCGGATTTTGATGAAGCACCACTGCGGCCACCAGCAGCTCGATACCTCACCGTTCTATTTTTTGGGGTACTCTTTTTGTCTCGTTACTTATTCAAACACTGAGTGCACAGTGCATACAAGTCATATTGGAAGGTTGGACGACGTGCTTACATTGGTATTTGCACAGTCGGTAGCCAGTGAAAAATATCAAAACAATAAAAAATACTTTCAACGTGACTGCGTGTGAATATTCTCAAACGTCCTTTTTTTAACAAGTCTCCGCAGAATCTGCAATCCCCCGCATCTAACTGTGGCCGTGTTCACTGATAACGTTTCATCCGAAAATACCAGAAATGCAATGAACTTCCGCATTTTCTCAGACAATCACGAAGATATAAACAACCCTTAAATACGGCCTATCTGTCTCGGATCTGCGGATGATTCACTGTTATCAGCAAAGGAATCAGGACGCATAGTCTGCAAAATCAAGACCGCAGTCGTCTCTACACTGTGCGATGTCCCCAGAATGTGGATAATTTACTGATACAGAGTGGCTAGCTACCCGACAAATGCACTGGTTTTCAACACTAAATGGAACTAAAATTACATTTTCAGGGGGTAAAACTCGGATCACCCTGTCGAGGAGTGAAATCCCTCCGACAGTCTTTCTAAGCAGATTTTGGAGTCTCAAGTGCTCACCAGTTCTCCGTACTAATGCAAACCCGTTTCTCGGTGCACATAAGTCACCTGGACTGTGCACCTTAGACGTGTTTTCCCAGCTCTGACGCGCTGTTGATTATTTGGGTGTAAAATTATCGACAGCTGAAGACAGGTCGAGCGATGATTCACGCGTACGCAGTTTTTCAAGGCCGTCTGTTTCGACGGCACAAACAAAATCCCCGTTAATGGGATAGGATGTCGTCTTGGTCGGGAGACGGCATTAGTCACTCATATGCTGCATGCTTAATACGTTTCTCGGTTTTAACTGATTGCCAGTGGTCGCTTAATCCTTCTTTCTTGAATGACAAATTCCCAAATCAAATCGCCCTTGTTTTTTTATTTCGCATGGGCAAAGAAGTTGACACGAAAATCCTCGCAAACGACCCATCGGACATCAGAGGACGGATAACTGTTATTGATGTGAAATGACGCGGTGAGAATCGCTAGCTGCATTTAAGTGACTGCCAAGCGCATACTACTCATACAAAAATGAAGAAGATAGGAACAAATGAAACTAATCACGAATTGAAAGAGTTCGTCGTATGACAAAAATCTGTGGTCCACAAATCCCTTCAGCATACTGTAAATATCATATTTCACAGAGTTTATCCGCAACTCTACATTTCGACAAGTACACTCATCTGTATATCAATTTGGTTTTCCCGAAGACTCAAAATGAGAGACAGATACGGTGAAAAACAAGTTGATATGCATATAAATGAAATTGTCGAAACAAAATGAGTTGTTTACAGTTTGCCTATACAATATGTGGAGTTCTTAGGACGCAACACACTGCCCATAAATTTTCTGAAAACTCTTCGATAGCCCACGATCGGTTTCGCCCTACTTGGGATCCATCAAGTAGGCGCAGTCCGTCAAACTCATGTCCTACTTAAACCCAGATAAGAAAGATTTCGAAGAATACACATGATGAGTCTTGTAGAACCGAAACCGGCTGTGAGCTGTTGAAGAGCTTTCATCAGCCCTGTCAGTAGTTTCCTGTTGTAGAAAGAGTATTGTTTTTTACTCAGGTTTCTTCCTCTCTCGCCCAAATTGCAATCTCTCTTCCAATCATACTTTTGCAAAGGTTGACTGGTTTGCTATTTTGTGTATAAAACTCGTTATTCTTTGAATTATTTTGTACGTTGACCTAGCTTCTTCTTTCCTTGATCGCTGCCTTTATGCCAACAAAATCGTGGTGAATTACATACAGTACTCTACTTCTACCACAAAGTAGTGACAGATACACAAAGTATGTCTCAGTTTAACAGACAGTACGTCTACTGGGGTTCGGACCTCCACGGTTCTGTGGTCATAATACAAAGCAAACGTGGGCGGAGAAGACGGTCGACTAAAGGTGACAAACTCGAAAGAAACTCTTTTTGACAAGCCAATTAAACAGAAGTCGATTCACCGAACAACTCGCCAAATAGCAGGGTAGTTGTCACGAGTTTCCAAGTATTTTGAGTGAAACTTTCAGAATCACATAGATCACATTGCGCGGTCGAATAGATATTGTCAGCAAATATTGTTTAAGGTAAAAAGTGAGCAAGAGCTGGGGAGTATATGTTGTGATCCTTGAAGACAGTTGTCTGACACTTCGTGTGCATATTGCCAAAAGCAGTAATAGAACTGTATGTGGTGCACCTCCCAATCACTTTGTCACTTAAACATTGTATAAAGTAAAAAACGGGGGCGCCAGTTAATGAAATGCCGTACCGACTGGTCAAAAACGGACAGCGATCCTTGAAAAGCCATTTGAACTGTGAAATGAAAATGGGTCCGCAACGCATTCCTTATTGTATGACCCAAACACAGAAATCAGGGCCTGTGGGTCTAATTAGTGACTAAAAACCACACATCGACATGATAACCTTCAACCCACAAAAATGCGGCAGCCAGTTTTCTGTGACAAAGTTCGTCTGTTTTCTTTGATATTTACCAGTCTTCAATCTCCAAAGAAAAGCAGAACTACGTAGAAGACCTAGCTCCTTTAATGCGCATTAGGTTACAGCTAGACAATATTTAAATAAACTATGCAGAACTAAACTAAATGGGGTCTCACAGTGGAAAGAAAATACCGCTTTGAAGGGTACAGTCAAGGCAGATAGTTGACTGTGAAAGCTGGGCTAATGAATACCAAAACAGTCTCAACGTTTAAACAAGCACTCTGTGTTGTCCTATTCCAGTTGTGGGCAGCTCCACGAAACTCTAATAAATTCTTACTCTGCACCTTTCTCTTCGCATGGGTCCTGCCTTTTGTCAAAAGGCCACTCACTGAGTAATTTTGAGGTACTGCATAAACCGAGTCGGTCTGAACACCTGCATTGTCCGTGATTAAACGTGCTAAGCGATCCGTAGGCTCCGTTTTCAGGATTTGATTGAAATTACGGGGAATTCGCAGGCAGAATATCTAGCAGGCCACAAGTTTGAGTAATACAGGCGCTAAACGGCGCATACTGGCGAAGGAGACTTTTTTTTAACTACCGTGCTCTTAAACTAGACAAATGAATACGATAAAAAAAGAAATTTAGAGGAAGGTTTTTGCGTACTTGTGCTTCCAGTGCTTGATACTGCTTTCGAAGTTCCTTATTCTCATTCTCTAACTTCGTTAGACGATCCAAGCATTCTCGGCTGATCTGAAAATGAAAAGGTAGATAGAATGATTTGCTGGTCTAGGTTCCGGAGGAGCAGTGGAACGATTTCTGTTCGACCGAAAGATTCATTTGGGTTTTTGGTGAATTTCGCACCAAAACTTAATCGGTATGGAGGTGTATAAGTCAAATTTAGATCACTTTTGGTTCAAGTGGAACAGACGGCTGACGGAAACCTGGCGACTGCGCCTACCTGGTGGGCGCCAAAAAGAGCGAAATCGGTCGTGGGCTGTTGAAGAGTTTTCAGCAACCCTATTAGAATTTCGTTACGTCCAAAATGGAATAGTTCAGATCGTTTTTGGCTTATCCCGATTTAGTTGGTTGCCCTTTTGAAAAAGGCAAGGTAAGGGAAACCTGATTTACTCAAATGCCACATCAAGGTGATACTCACCGAATGACTTAGGGCACACAACAACAATTTGATTAGTGAATGGTTCCTGCTTCCCCTTGGCAAACGAAAATGCAAAGCTTTTCAATTGAATTAACAAGCTCGACTGGGTAACAGTTTAAAGGTATGTAAAGTAGTGAGACTAAGGATGTCAGATATTCTCTAATGTAGTGTGCAACAAAAATAACTCACACTGGAATAACGTGAATTCGGTTACTTC